AACATAGCAGATCGATTGTGAAACTGAAGCCATTTTATTTTCTTACAAATGCGTAATCGCTCTTCTCAAACTCTTTAAGAAAAACCATTGTTACATTTTCAATAGAAAAACTTTAATTTTATAATGCGATGATACTGATAAATCATTCATTGTGATGTTTTTTCAGCATTCTGAATTATGAAAATTCATTGTAAATCAAGAAATTGTATATTTAATAACTTTTCTGATTATCTGCAAATTAATTTTGTTTTAATAATTATATTATTATATTATTATTATAATAATTATATTATTTAAGACATATCCATTTATATATATATGTGTGTATGTGTGTATGTCTGTAATAATACCATAAAAAATTTAATGACAATGAATCAACGGGTAAAGCTAATTATTCGGTTTTCTGATATTTTAGTTAAAAAACTGTTGTCATTTAACATGTTAGAAAATTTGTTCTTAAATGTTTTATGAATTTTTTTAGAGTTAATGTATATATAATTTTATAGTACTTTACTTTGCTTAGCAAGCCGTAACTGTGACGGATCAATTTTTTGTGCGCGGATTTCGATAAAGAACGCTTTTAAGATAATACCAGTCGAATTCTCTTTCACATACACTGTGAACCAATTTGTGGATGCTACAGCGAAGCAGTTTGAATGTATGTATGCGTTTATAAACCGCACACAACACATTTTTACGTTTTTCTCAAAGGTCAGTGTGATAGCGTCGACCACTCCCCTCTTGTCTCTCTTTTATATAATACATCAGCTTATAAAAATACTCTATAGAAGCGTTCTAAGGTGACTTTTTCTTTGTTCACCAAGAATATTCGCGATTAAGAGTGCAAATCGCGAGCGATCGATCGGGAACATTGCTTGTATCTATTCAAAAAATAAAATAAGTGATGTTCTATTAGAGTCTTGGAATAATATGACTCTCTAATTAGCACATTACCACATTTTTTTAAAGAAGTATATCTTTGAGTTGATATATCTTTTTTCTAATTTTGTAATTAAATAATAGTATTTAAATACTAGTATAAATGTATATTTATAATATTTTTATAATGTATATTTATAATATTATATTAATATTTATAAAATTTCTAAAATAAATTCTTTTGTAAAGCTCTTTTTAACAATGTATTGCTTTACCATAATGGATGTATTTTTTTCTTTATTATGCTAACAAGATATACATATATACATATTTATAAAAATTTATTACATAATATTATATCTAATATTATATTTATTAAAGACTATTGTCGAGACTTATATGATATTTGTAATTACAAATATTTGATATTATATATTTCTAAACATTCAATTCTTTTTGAATTTTTAGTTGTAGCAAATTATGATTCTCTCTCTTTCCTGTCTCGTATATTTAGTTTATTTATTACTTGTAAACATAAATGAAATAGTATGCATTAACGAGTTTGTTAATTATATAGTGTTGTCATACGCTTGGACGCATATGCGACGCAATTCTTTGTGCATTTTATGTTTATTTTTCACTTTTGTCATATCGGTTTTGTGACAGTTGGATGATAACAGCAAGATACATTGTAATTGCTTAATGCGAAAATCTTGTTAATCGATAATATCAAACATATGATATGTTGGATGCTTCTTTTTTTGTTGAAAAAAAAGATGCTAAAAATTCATGTGATAATGCATCGATAACATTTAAATAGATATAATCGAAAATAGTAATAAAAAAAAAATAAATTAATGAAAGTTAAAGTATTCTCTACAAAAAGTAAGTATAAATGTTTCATAAATGTGAAATCTTTTTAATGCAAATAATCTGGAACAGTAACATTTCTTATAGTTGTATTTTACGTATAGCAATATTTCTTATGGTTCTGTTCTACAAATCTCCATAAAGATTAAGATCTCAAGATAGAAAGTGATTAGCGTGCTTGGGGTTCTAATTCGATTATCACGTCTATCTCCTCGGGCGAAAATTATGTCTTCGTATCAGTATTTATGTATTTTAATTTCAGACTATTATTAAAACATTATTATACATAAACATTACGTTTGTTTAGTATTGCATTATTACCGGAAAAAATATGTTTAATTTATATTTTCTCTTGTCTGCATTAATAAAAGGCTTAGATGTTAATTTATTATGTAATAAAGAAGTGTCTGATAGTTTAAAGCTTATTAATAGATAAGGGTGGGAATAATGGCCTCTCTCGATTTTGATAAATAATTCTGGGAAGTTCTCTCGGACAAAAATTTCGAGAATAATTGTGCAGCCAGATTGCGTAATATTCTGGTTGATAGGAAGAGAGAGTAATTGCAGCATTTTGCATTTTTGAAACAACTGCGAAATTTAATAATATCGGTAGACTTTTATAAAGACTAATGATCGTGGCTTGCTATAAAACTAAACTATGCTTCTTTATAATAGTTTTTTTTATAGGATCTATAGTATCTGCAACATGTCCTGTTACATCATGATCACTCTTGTGTACATAATTTTATGTGTCAAGTATTAATAACGTTAAATCTTTTTTTTTACGTAGTCATATTCGAGAATGTGTCTTCTGAGATATGATGATATTTATCTATCCACTTTATTGCTTCTAATCAATTTAAAATTGATTAAAATGTAAAAAAAGATAAATGCATGTTTTCTTATATTTTATGTTACGTTATGCTATTATACTATTTATCGTATTTTTAAATTCTGCTACAAGTAAGAGAGAGGAAGTATTTATTCTTATTCTTAAAATTTTTAATTTATAAAATGTTGTGAAAGTCAGCCTTTAAAGCTCTTTCTGTCCAAACGAGATATCTTTGTCGCAAATATTGAAGGTACCATTACAGAAAAGATGAAAGATGTTATTTTATCTTTTTCGTTAATTTTGAGACTTAATTATAAAAATAATTTTTATAATAAAGCATATAGCAATTGAGAAACGAAATTTCTTCACGTATAGAAATTTTATCTTCATTAATTATGCTGCAATTTCTAACTGTCATTTAGTACAACAATAATACCTTTAACTCACGTTCATTTAATTCGCGACGAGACAGCTATGAGGGAACAGCTCGTTCTTTTTTCTAGAACGAGTCAGGTGATCATCACTAAGCGTAAACTACGAGGTCAGGGTTGGTCAGCGAAGCTCGTCATACCGAACGCAACGTCGTGCCATCCGTTTAATAACGGCGATCGGTTTTATAACACTTTTCCATTCACCAGTGTGCGAGGGCACGTCAACGACGTCACGGTTGAACATTTTTCACGTGGGCGAAGTGCGATCGAGGAAGTGAGCAAAAAGGGAGGGAGTGAAAAAGAACGAAGCAGAAAAGGAGAACAGGCGATCGCCGTTGAATTGCCGTTCATGTCCAGATGCAAGTTCCCCTTGAACCGATCGGTGGGGGCCGTTCCACCCCTGTTTGGGGCGCAAGCTCAGCTTTCTGATTGGTCTCTGTGCCCCATGACGTCACCGCGCCGCTGGCGTTACGTATAACTTCAAGCACGCGGAGCTTTGGATTCAGTCAGTTGACTGGTATTCGCCATACCGAGCAGATCTCATCCTGAGATCTTAAGGATTGCCTAACTGAAGACGGATCGTCAAATTATTACTGATCTCGCTGTTGCGTCGTTGTACCTTTCGATTCTGGTCTTACTTCCGGTCTTATTTTTGAAAGGTAAGTGCTTTTAATTTTTAATGTGTAAAACTTTAAATATCTTTATTAATTAAAAAAAAATGAATTATAAAATTAATCAATTTATTAGTATTTTCATTCTTTCATTCTTTTTCATTCTTTTATAAATTTTATTTTATTATATTTAATTTATTATTTTCAAAATACAAATAAATAAAAAAGTATGGAACTCGTATTTTTTATTTTGTATTCTTTTTAATCTAAATAATAAATTTATAAAATAAATAAAACTTTTATTTTAAAAAGCGCAGGGTTTAATAATATATTTTTTTATGATGAATAAAAATGTTAAAAAATGTTTAAAAATGTTTAAAAATGTTTAATGTTTTTATTGGCAGTTGTAATTTATGCTTATATTATAAATATATTTTAAATAATTAGAAACTATCTTCTTTCTTCTTTTTTAATAAAATTATTTTAAATGAAAAAATTACGAAAATAAAGATTTTTATTACTATAAATTATAATAGAATAAATTTGTTAACTTATACATGAATAAAATATTGAATAAGTATTTGCTATATAATATAGTTTGAAGAATCAAAGAAATTGAAAGTTTGTATATATTTTGTGTATCTTATAAATTTCATTATTGTATCAATAAATTTTATAATATAATATATATTTTATAATATAATTTTATAATGAGTTGAAAACTGCTAGAAGATCTTTCACGAAAAGTTAATTAACTGTTTCGCTAAACTTTCAAAGATAATCTCAGAAGAAGAGAAATTATGAGATTAATTAAAAATAAGATAGATAAGTTATATACATATAATTTAATAGTTTAATAGTACATGAATAAATTGAATCTGAAATATACAAGTATAATTGAGATTTCTTAATATTACATCTTAACACTTAGATTTGCTTGCTAGATATTTATAAAGAAAATATTTAAACATTTTTTTGTCATGTAAATTATTATTTTTATTTTTATTTTAAATATTTTATTATATTTTCTTATGAAAAAGTAAGAATATTATAACGATTGTTGTGGAGAATAATAATTAGAATATTAATTAGAACTGACTAGAATAATAATTTGTTTTAATTTAATAAAAATTAGTGATATTTTTACACCTATAATTTAAATCGTTTTTGTTGAGTAAGATAAATTTCAAAGGTTCTTGTTTTCGAACATTAAATTATACATGAATACAAACTTTATTATAATGACAGAAATCTGTTATCCCCTTAACCCAGCTTTGTGCAAATTTAACCCAACATCAATCGTTTAGTCCGCAGACAAGGGTGGACGGGCAAGTTTCGTGCCAATGTTCGATTATATCGTAGAAGCAACAGGCTTCCGACGTATAATGTAGTTTTATACGAGAGAAACAGATTTTTTTTAAAATTGATAAAAATAAATTATATTCCATTAACGCCATTTGTACAATATAATTGCCATTTGATAATACATGACATAAAACGTTTCAAATAACGTTACTTTAATAATGTTATAAAGCGAGAATATAAAATTTAAATTTATATTATTATATTTCGAGAGAGATGGGCCTAATAAAAGCGCATGAATTTCTAAATAGTAAAATTTCAATAAATTTTATAAAGTATAATAGAAAGAATATACATAGTAATATAAAATATAAAAATAGTGTGGCAAAAAAGAAGCCTTTATAATTTATTAATTTTCAAAAATAATTTTATTGTATATATTAAAATTGACCTTAAATTGTCTTTTTTGCTATAATGATTATTGTGTATTAATTTTTATTTAACAAAATTTTGATTATAAAAATCTTAAATTTTTATTTAAAAAAGAGTTGATATCAAATATATATTTTTTTAAAAGTCTGTTACTAAAATTTTTATTTATTAATCATTTTTTATATATAAACAATAGAAAAAATATGGCGAAATACTTCGCACAATTATTGCGGTTAAAAATACAATACAAATGCAACATGATATCAATGTATTGAACATTTTCATTTGATACCTAGCTTTTATTCCCTATTCTCTGATTTCTTGCGCGTTGACACATCATTTCCTGTTTTTGGCATCTTCTGTCTTTTCAGCAGGTATAACCATTCTGCAACATTTTAATACAAATACTATTTTTTTTTCAATTAATGCAAGATTTTAAAAAACGAAAAAATAATAACAAAATATTTTTAAAATCAACATTTCCTAGTAATTTTATATTTTCTACATTTTTTAATAAATATATTTTTGTAAATAAAATTTTTTAAATTAATTCCAAAGATTTATCTTTAAAAGTTCAAAATCTTTATTTGTTTACAATTTAATGATCTATTCTTAAATCTTATTCTTAAATTTTATATAATTTCTAAAATATTTAAAATATTCTATATACATTTTATACGTTTAATTTCAAAAATTGTGCAAAGTTATTCAGAGAGCTATTACATCATTTATATATAAGCTCGTTGCAGATAATATATTTTCGTAGAATCGCAGTTTATTTATACAGATAGAAAATAAGAACGTGGAAAATGTTGTTTTTAAGATGGAGAATTTAATTTGCTATCCGGTGTGAAATGCACGATTGAAATGCAATTTTGAGAAACGTCAGGCTGAGAGTTCATTCGGAGAATAGCTACACTCTCGCGCAGAGACAGTCTTAATTCCCGATGCTTTACGACTATGATATCTATTCCCGTGTGTTCGCTTTGAATGCGGCTTACACCAACGCCGATGAGATATACTTTGCGTCACGGAAATGCCAAACTCTGCTACCACCTCTCGTTAACGCGAGACGGAGAGTCATCCACTATAATAAGCCGATGTACTTTAGGGGGATGAATATTGTATTTATCAGACTCTACGGGATACGAACGATATAAGTGTCGAAGTTCTATCGAGTGGGAGCTTGTCCTGGGACGTAGAGCAACTTTTAAATTCCATCGTGTTTGTTCGCTGTCCATTCTGCGATTCTTTCTCATGTTTTTATCGAATTCTTTCTCATGTTTTTATCGAAAATCGGCGGCAACAAACTTGCTTCCGTGCTGATCTCGCATATACAAGCCATGATATTTCCCCACGGTGAAAACTTCCGCTTGGTGAAATCCCTCGTTTGAGAGTATGTACGTGAGAAATCTTCGAGCAACGGAATATTCGTTGTTTCGACGTTAGATCGTTAAGATTCTTTGACGTTTGATACTTCATATAAAAAAAATGTCTGAAAGCTAGTTTGGATACTTTTTATTTATACTGTTATATTAGTATGATTGATTACATTGAAAGCATTTTATCGTTGTTAGAACTATTGGAAATACAATAAGAGAGAGAGAGAGAGAGAGAGAGAGAGAGAGAGAGAGTACTTATTT